TCTCCCTTTTCATTACTATTATTATTATTCTATTTTATTTTCTTTCAATTATTAAACTGTTCTTATCTCAACCCATGAGTTTTACCTTTTTTCTGATTCTCCTCCCCACCCACCCCAGGGCAGGGGGAGTGAGCGAGCAGCTGCATGGTACTTAGTTGCCAGCTGGGGTTAAACCACAACAGAAGTCTATTCTCTAAAAGTGAGAGATTATTTCAGCAACATCCAGCAATGTGCCTTCCTAAAACAGCCAGCAAATCTGTTAACCAGAAGGAGAATGCCAAGGTGCTGGCAGGGGGCTAACAATTCAGCAAGGACAGAAGTTAGCTATACAACAGAAATAATTTTATAGTAACTCAGATACAGAAGTGATCCAACCAGGAATGAGATACACAAGAAAAGCAATTCACAAAACCCCAAACAAATTAACAGTGAAAACACCAAACTTCAAATAAGCCAGAAATAAACAACAAAAAAAACCCAGTTCAATGCAAAAAGAGCAGTCAATCAGCAAGTGATATGTAAATTGCAATTTTAAGAAACATCTGTGTGGAGTTTACATATGCAAGAAAATTAGCAGTAGGGTCTACAGTGCCTTGAGTGCAGCAAAAGCAACCAAACAACAATTTGAAATGCAGCTTTCAGAAAATTAGTTGTTCATGCTGTGAGTGCTGCAGGACAGGGGTTTCAGACGCAGTGAAAAGCTGTAAGTAACATCAGTGATCCGTCTTTGCCAAAACCTCCACTGGTTTTACTCTTAATTTTTCCTAGCCTCTGCAATAGGAGACAAGTGGGAAGGAGATAGTCCCTTCCGTCCATCTGTCCCCCCGTGACAGATCTCCACAGGACAGTTCAACGCTCCAGGCAAGGGATTCTGGCAGAGTGAGGACTGACAGACGTCGGTCTTCTAGAGACAAGGGGTGAGGAATATGTCCAAAAAGGTCTGCTTCTGCTGAGGGACAAGGATCGGGTTGGCCATGGCTTCCAACAGCTCCCAGCAGCTGGAGAGAACTTTCTCATCAGGACACTGGCAGTTTGGGGGAAGGGGACTTAAGTCTTGGAGAGTGTGGTTGCAAAGCCCATGATCTCCATCTCTTTAAGGTAGAAGAGGGATGGGGCACGTCAGGCCCTGGTGGGGTGGGCTGTGTGCTCCAACAGTGTTTGAGAAGCCTGGTGACTGCACAGCACATTTGGCATGAGGATCTGGTGGGTGGTTCTGGTAATCCCGTAAGGTTTATCCTGCTGTGAACTGACTTACCAGGTTGAGTTTGTGATGCTTGAAAGTTTTGCCTCTCAGGAGCACACCACAAACACTGATAGTTTTAATTGCAAAGCACCTTCTAACCATCCTTGCTTCTCCCATCGTCCCCAGTGCAAAGCTGCTGCAGTACAAGTTTTAGTGCAAAATTCGCATGGACTTTGCTGAGGGGGGAGGAACCAAGTTGTTACCCTGTAATGATTGTCCTGAATTGTGCTCAGTAAGGGACCTCCTGGCAGGAGCCACTAACTCCCTTCCTGTAGGAAACTTTGCATTAACTAGATGCTAGCTACTTACAGTCCAGAGGCTTTTTGCCTTGAAGTGGCAAAGCAGTGGTATAAAACTGTTGTCTAATGGCAGGGTGTAGCAAGGGCTTTGTAGCACAAGGTCATTGCTCAGAATTCCAGGCTTAGGTATGTTTTTTGACCGCTGTGCATCTGTACAATCATTTAATGTATTTTAGCTTTAAAGCTTGATCTGCTTCATCCGAAGTCCTGCTAAACTCTGCAAAATTGCTGTATATATACATGTATTCCACATGATTGACCATGAAGTCACATGCAGCAGTGCTCCTCAGGCTCTCCGGCAGACTACTTGCAGCTTATGTTTGCTGCTGAGGTTTGTAAGAACTCAGCTGAGACCTGGAGGTGACAATAGGCTAAACAGTGAACAGGGGGTATGGACCTCAGCGTTGATCCTGTGCAGTAGGAAGGAGGGCAATGTAAATGACCTGGAGGATCGGTTACAGGTCTGTGGCAGGCGGTGTTGCTGTGAGCGTGCCCATCCTGACACGAACACGCAAGGGAGGATAAAAGTCGGGGTGGCCGTCACAAATTCACAAAGGCTTCTTTGAGACCGGCCGTTTAGCCTAGGGTAGCAGGTCAGGCTATGAAGGTGATTTGATTTAAGATGTGCTTGAAATATTAAATTATAGCTTCGTACAAAATCAGGAATGTTGCAATAAAGATGCTTGTGTATTTGTAGAATTTTTTGTTTAACAAAGCAATCGCTAGCCAGGACTTGCTAAGAGAAAACAGAAATGTGTAATACCTTAGCCGAACACTTATTTATTGATAAATAACAACAGCTCATTTGCGGACGAGGTTCAGGCTAGCTGTTGCGTGGAGGGTGATTGCATTCATCCCTTTGGAGGGCAAGTGCTGTATGACCCACAAGGCACGTTTCTCATCAGGAGGTAGCTCTGGTTTGATGCGCTGGCTTTAAGCAGATCGTGGTGTCAGAAGCTGGTGGGTCACGTGCTGACCTGAACGTCTTCTGA